CCCTGGTAGATTGTTAAAAGACTGCTACAGATTTCCTCTGGAAAAGGAAGCTGCCTGCTCACATGTTTGCTTTCCTGTCCCTGATCCTGCGGCGTTGGCCAGGGTATGCAGTCCTAGTCAATGATGGCAGTTTATGGATGACCCGACCCCGGACAGCTGAACCTGTTCATGGGAAATGGATTGTTTATTTCCAGACTGTAGTTCATATGGATAAAAAAAGCAACTATACTTTAAAGTAAAGCACCCTCGATCCTGATTGCTGCCACAGACCCTACAGTAATTAAGCCATTGTGTTACGTCTGTATGAAGTGTTTCCAAGGGAGGCTGTGCTTTATGGAAGCATGTTTGATGCAGAAGTGACATTGTTCTTCTGGAAACTCTTTTCATTGCACTAGTTATGGCAATAAATCGAGCAGGATTTGAAAATGTAAGAGTTAAGATTATAGTTGTTCTTATTATGTAAATGTAATTATAGAGGTGATCGTGGCTATGCTTCAGTTGTCAGGAGAGCTGTCAGGGCTGTATTCTGTCTCTTTATAATAGCTTTCTCTGACGGAGGGAGAGGGGTCCCCAAATCAGCTCCTCTCCTGACAGTCTCTGGAGCTCTGGAGCGGAAAGCCATTCAGTGTCCGGTTTCAGCTTGTATTACATCACTGATAGCAGCGTAATGATGGATAACACACTGAGTCCAGGTTCTGTGCTGTTACGCTGATAAATGTCACATGCTTAGTGGAACGTGCATCTGTATGAAGTTCCTGCTGCTTCTCCTCCCACAGACTGCTGGGAAAAGACAGCAGATCTACCCAGGAGCGGCAGATACCGCCTTATGCTTAAAATCACCAGGGTTGGTGTTGCTGTTTTTTCTGAAGTAAACCATGATGATAATTATCATTCACAAATTTACAAAATAACAAAGCTATATTACATTAAATTCATTTACATTACATTCACAATAAAATAAAATAATAATTCCACAAATTTCCACTTTAATGGGAAGATGACCTGTCTTTGATTTAAGTAAAAAAAAAAAAAAGAGAGACTTTACCTTAAAGGTGTTAAAGCCAAATTGCAAAGCAGGAGGGTTGGATTTCTTCATAAGTGTTCTCTGGGGTCTGGAGTCTGGGCTTTGGAGGGGATTGCGTAATTTAGCAGCTTTTACTCACTGCCGAGAATGTAACAAAGTCAGGTCTTTCCCATTCATATGCTACTTGTCACTTTCAGTCATGCAGTTTTTCAGTTTGAGAGAGTGCTCCAGGAAAGGCATGCGGCTAAGCTGGATTGCTCTAATTGTGCTTTATTTGTCTGACTGTGGATGTCCAGAGGCCTCTCTCAGGAGAACAGAAAAAATTGCAATGCAAAATCATGTCATTACTGCAAGAAACAGTGTGTTTGAACAGAAATGAAAAGATGATTATGTGGTTACTGCTCAGCTCTCATCTGTACAAACGTTCTGTGTGGTTTATTTGGTCTGAGACTGTGGAAGTCAGCGTTAGAATTAATGCTGTATTAACTTTTTAAAGTGCTTTCCTCTGTAAATTCCAAGCCTGCATAGGAATTTAAACACGGGGGTTTAATGTTAGGAGTTTTCCCTCGGCCGTTAAATGACAGTAAATCCTTGAGTGCTTGTTAAACAGCGTTCTGCAGAGAGCAGGAAGTGTTCACACGGCAAACGCGTTTAAGATGATTATAGCATACTAACCAAGGAAGCCATGGGTTACACAATATTGGCCAGGGACACAGCAACAGACAGCAAGCCCATAGGTTTTGTGGTTTTACTCAGTCACCCATTTTAGAAAGCATAACCTCTAGAGTCTAGACAGTCAGCTCTAAGAAGCTATGTGTCCTATTCACATAAGGCAATGACACTTCTGGAATTATTACACATGAAAACATGCAAGGATGGCAGGGTGGTGTAGTGGTAAGGAGCAGGGCTCATAACCAAAAGGTTGTCAGTTTGAATCCCCACTGGAGCACTGCTGTTATACCAGGGTAATCCAGTAACCCAGCTGTATAAATGGCTAACATGTATGCATTGTAACCTCTGTAAGTCTCTCTGGATAAGAGTGTCTGCTAAGCAACTAAATGTACCAAAATAAAATCAATAACTAAGCAATGGTGAACACCAGGGAATGAATTAGATTGGATAACAGTGGTGACAGCTTCATAGGACTGAACAGTGGCAGTCTGTGTGTCTGATCTGTCATCACACCACAGCTCTATGCGTGATGCATTAGACCACAATGAATTGATGCTGCACACCAACTTATCAAGTTTAAAGAGCTCTTGTCTCTGGTTATTAATGAAAAGTGAAGCAAGTCTATATTTCTCTTCAGATGAGTTTCAAGGACTCTCTGTAAGACGCAGGCCCATATTCATCAAAAGAATGGATTTTCTGTTGGGGAAATAAACACGCCGTTATGAGGTTTGATTTCTGCTTCAGCCCATTCTGCGAAAGCCGCGGCTGTTGCTCGCTTGTTGTGCTGCGTGTACCGTGCAGCGCTGTTCAGGGAAGCGGCTCTGGGGGCTAGTTTTAGCATCAGCTCTGCAGGATGCCTGTGAATGACTGGAAGTGTCCCTGTTGTTTCTAACGTCACATCGAAAAAATAATGTCTGCGCCTCACCCTCTCAGTATACTGAAAGGTTGTGCATATTGGTTTTAAGACAGGTCAGGTTTGTGTCAGCAAGCACCACAGTGCCACAGTTTTATTTCATAACTCAGAAATGTGAGACGGCTTTAGGTGGCGGCTCTCAGGTGTCAGTATATGGCTCGGTGCCTTGTCCAGGCACTAGCAGGGTCCGTCAGGAGAGCATGTAGCTCTGGGTAGCTCTCGCTAGCAAGCACTGCGACAGTTGACAGAAAAATGTCAGTAAAACATGTTTTTTTTCCCCCCACAGATGTGCAGTGTCGTGTTTCATACTGAAAAACCATGAATGAAATAAGCAGAGTACGGCCTGCTTGATTCATGGCTGGGTGAAGAGGTTGTGTTTGAAAGGACTGTGATGCATAAAAGCTCTGTGTTCATGGCAGCTATCGCATCAACGCTGCATTAGAGGCTTTTGAATAGCGACACTTCTGAAAGGCGAACAGGTGTGACAGCTTTAACACCTCAATGGTGTCCTCAGTGCCAGGAGCTGTAATCTCCAGCTTTCTCCCAGGATTCCCTGTTCATGCTGGGGAATGTAGTGTCACAATGTGAAGTTCATCTGCCCCCCAATAAATAGATGCTGCAAATGCACTTTCCTGTGTTCATACATATTTACTGAAGATGCCGAGGTCCTTTCAGTCCTGTGCGGGAAGTGCACCAAGCTGTAGGAGCTCCGCTTCAGCCCTCTCACTGACGCTCGGCTTTAATCTCGATTACTGAGTTCTGGACACGCCGGACGAGTGTCTGTTCACTGCAACAGCGGCAGCATTCTCCTGTGTGTTTGTCAGGTCCGTGGCTCTCCCGTACAGACACGGGGCAGTCTGTTCGCCGGGAGCCCACACCGTTCACCTCGAAGCTGGTGAATGGGATTTTTTTCTGTTTCGGTAAAGTGGCTGGAGTTGATTCCTCTGTGTTTCTGCGGTAACAATGCCCGCGAACCCGCCGAGGTGTGATTCTGTGGGCGTAGACATTTCTGAGACCTTTCAGAGGAACTGACTGAACTGAGCATCGCATTCAGCTGTGCTCTGTGTTCTGTGAAGAGAGAGAGAAAAAGCAAACGCTGCGCTGAAGGCTGGTGGATTTCAAGGTTAGCTGGCAATGCTGGTACACATCTGTAGGACAATGCTTTCTCCCTCAAAAATGCTGTTCTTAACAGAGAAATACGTGCGTAAGGGCTGGAGACTAAACTGCCTTTCTTGTTTTGTCTCTCTTGTCTGTCTGTCTGTCTGCAGCGCGGGACCCAAAGGAGACAACATATATGAATGGAGGTCCACCATCCTGGGTCCTCCTGGCTCAGTCTATGAGGGTGGAGTCTTCTTTCTGGACATCACCTTCTCCTCAGACTACCCCTTCAAACCACCAAAGGTAGGTGTCGTCTCTCCCCCGGGTTAAACCTGAACGTTTCCCTCCAGACGGAGAGGTCTGCCCTTTCACAGAGAAAGGACAAACTAAATGATTAAGTCTGGGAGGGGCTGAGAAGGGCACAGAGGACCTCGGATGTAATAGAATTAAGCCCTCAAAACTAACACCGGGAGACAAACGAGGTGCGGCCTGCTACGGACCTTTCACTGCCGTCCCAGGTGGGGGCTGAGCACATATATCTGCCTGCGCTTCTTCTGTTTATCTGTCTCATCTAATGAGACTCTGTCTGATGAGAGTTTTACCTACTGGGGAATACTCCTTCCTGCAAAAACCAATTAACTGAATGCACGTCCAATGATCTTAATGATGCCAGTGTGTATTTATCGCTTTGACATTAAGCGGCAGTCTCGGGCACACTGTTCCTGTTTAATTAGAGGCTGAGTGTCCCCCTCTGTCTGGGGGAATATTTCAAGCCTCTGAGCTGGTCTTTTTTTCCCTCTCCTGTTATATAAACTGTAGTATCATCTTTAAATCACCTACCAGTGTTATACAAACCAGTCAAGGTAAAGACTGCTTTTATAATAAATGGCACTCCAAGGTTAATCCTGTAATTAATGATTGGGGATTTACTGTTTATGAATGTGAGGAATGTTGGAAATGTTTATGAAAGGCATTACATAAATACAGCCCCCTGCACTCAACGCATTAATAAATACGATTCCCATATGATAAATTTGCATTCATCCTTTATGGAGCTTTATTGGGTTCCGTTGGATAATCAGCAGGTAGTAAACCTAGCAGAGCTGCTTCATGTAGGAGTGCGGAGTCTCGGCCTAAGTGGCGATGTAATCAGATTGTAATATTCGTTTACCAGCATGATAAAATATGCTGTACAACAACCTGTGTGTGGGACAGTTTAATCAGCAGCAAACGCATGATTGGCGTCGGTGTTCTCCGAAGCTCTGGCTGGCTTTGATGAGCAGACACGGAGGCAGCAGTGTAGCATAGTGGAAGGGCACAGGGCTCGTAACCGAGAGGTCGCTGGTTCGATTCCCGGCAGGGGCACTGCTGTTGTACCCTTGCCCAAGGTACTTAACCCACATTTGCCCCTGTGAATATACAGCTGTATAAATGGATAAAACTGTAAGCCATCTGCGAAATGTCAATAATGTAATGTAATGAAGGACTCTGTCTCTGAGTGAGACGGGCGTGTTTCTCTGCCCTTGTAGTGCCCGGGCGTGCCCTCTAGGTGGCACTGTCCCGCTGCAGCGTCCCCTCTCGGCGGCATCGGCCCGCCATTGTGCCAGCGCCAGTGCAGAGAGGGCAGCCTTGCCCCTCAGTCCTGCTGGCAGGCTGTGCTCAGCCACATCTCCCACTGATCCTGTTTTCCCAATAATAAAGGCATTGTTCGGCGTGGCGCGGGGCTATTTTGGTCGCCGGTTTTTGCAGTCATGTGACGGTCAAGGTTGTGACTTCTGTGCAGCCTGGGAGAGACAGAGGCGCTGCAGTTAGCATGTGAGTTACCCTCTTTTATTGAGCCCAGCGGCCAGCACAGGGTCTCACTGAACTTTGGCTCCTGTTTGCTGCCTTCAGAAGCCCAGCAGATCAGTGGCCAGTATCTCACTCATTGTAGGAGCTGTTATCATGGGACACAATGTACCCTTACATCCCAGGATAAGAAATGTTTAGAAGTTGAGACTAGCTGGCTCACGACTACAATTACAAACAACTTGTTCATCGTGGCCTCGTACTGGCTCTGCTGTTCAGTGATAAACGAAAGAAGGAATAAAAAACCCATAAAGGCATGTTTTTAAATCTGCGTACAAGTGTTGGGGGGGGGCGAGCGACTTACATACGACACAGTTTTTAGATGTTCGTTTATACAGCTGGATATTCACTGAGGAAATTCTGGTTTAAGTACCTTGCCCAAGGGTACAGCAGTAGTGCCCCAGTGTGGAATCAAACTAGCAACCTCTCCTTACAGTTACACCACATGCTTATACAGTGTTTATATGAATAATCAAATAGCTGTGGTGTGGTGAAGCCGGGCTGCGTTGGACACTGCACTGCAGTGAGGTTCCCCTCTCTCGGGCTGACCGGCTGCCGTAGCGATTTCTCTCACGACGAGCGCGTTTAGCTGATGGCGCTAACCTCTCTGCGTGCATGCATGCCCCTCTCATAGGTGACGTTCCGCACCAGGATCTACCACTGCAACATCAACAGCCAGGGTGTGATCTGCCTGGACATCCTGAAGGATAACTGGAGCCCCGCCCTCACCATCTCCAAGGTGCTGCTGTCCATCTGCTCCCTGCTCACAGACTGCAACCCAGGTGAGCTGAGGGGCGGAGTCCACGAGCCACGCCTGGCCCTGACCTATGACCCCTGTCTGTGGAGAAAAATACCAATAGCTCTATTACAAACATTAGACACACAGATAACACGTTGGTTTATAATTCCTGCCTTAGGGTACATGCAGATGTAAGCATGCTATAAGATGGCCTTAAAGGCATGCAGAATCTTATTTTGAAGATCTTTAAGGTGTGCAGCATCTTAGAAGGTATTTAAGGTGTGCAGCATCTCATTCAGAAGAGTTTTAAGGTGTGCAGCAGCTTATTTGAGGGTCTGTGTAGTTACTGCACGCTCTAAGTGTTCTCTCTGTCGGCAGCGGATCCCTTGGTTGGAAGCATAGCGACTCAGTACCTGACCAACAGAGCGGAACACGACAGGATAGCCCGACAGTGGACCAAGAGATACGCCACATAAACCGCGGGTCCGTCCCTTACCCCCCACCACCCCCACCCCCCCACCTGCTGCCGTGTAAAGATCCCCGAGGCAACTTTACAACGTGAAACAAATCTTTATAGCCTTTACAACTCGGACTTCTGTGTACATGTTATACTGATTCTACTCTGTGCTTTTACCCTGGAAGACTGCGAGACATCCCTGCAGGTGAAGGCCACCAGAGTAGAGTTTTGTAGCTGTAGATTTAGTTATGTATAAATGCCTACTTGCAAGTCTTGCTTCTTTGGGATATAAAAATGTATTTTGTGATGTAATAAGGAAATTGTTCCTAAAGTCAACCAAATATTATGGTGCATTTTAGCCTAATCCATTATCTGTATGAAGTTTAAAAAAAAAGAACCTAGCTGTAGATTATTAGGAATTCTGTCATTTATATGAAACTCAGATCCATTTCCAGTTATGTGGTACATGCTGTTGTGAACTCTGTTTTACCTTTGTCGGTTTGTAATGAAGAGATTTCATTGAAGCTTTTGTAGCCCAGCGAAGGTGTGTCACCACTGTAACATCCCCAAACACAATAAACTCCTCCCCCAGGGCCAGGTGTGCTGTGTAAACTCATGGATGACTGATGTTAACCGCTGCCATGCAAATACCTCAGACAGTAGGCCAGATTGTACCCAGGCACTTCCTGTACTGTACTGGTCTGAGCGTTTTCTTCACAGATGGGTATTCTTGTAGATGTCTACCTCTGCAGTTTTTATTTATTTTTAATTTTTTTTTTTTTTTTTTTTAAGAAAAAGTTTTTACATTTTTTTTCTGGTCACTTTAAATTCTCCAGGTGTGTTGCGTGCGTTTGTGCTCAATTAAAAAAAAACTAAAAATTCTGAGCTGTAAAATCAGGTCTGAGAACAGAGGCTGTCATCCTACAGCACAGCAACCTTTTCCTTTTACAGTCCCCTGCAGTACTGCCCTCTGTGCTGTGAGAGCGGCTTCTGTCCCGTGATGAATGGGGAGCGTTTGTGTGCAGTACACTACCCTAAATCAGCAGGCTTCCCTGCCTGTGCTGCTTATTCCTGCCCCTGCTGTAGAAGGAAAAGGAGCAGCCTTGTGCTGCTTTCACTGCGTTTGCAAACACTGTTTTTAAGTTAACCTGTGCCTTCCCTACCGCTTCAAACATTGCATACATTTAAATGCCATTTGTATCTAATCTACATGATTAATTTGCTTTATATATATAATATACATATATATGGGATATATATAGGATGCTGAGCTTTTGTGTAATTTATATGGGATTTGAATACTTATGTGTCCTTTTATGTTGAGTGTTGCATGTTGAGTGTTTCATACAGTGTGCATCAAAAGAAACACCGCTGTTCATGCACGCAGCCAGCTGTTCTCAGAAACCTGCAGCCTGTGATTATTCAGCAAGCAACTCAGCTGTCAGGCTGATTAATTGATCAACTGACCATGACATGATTGAGACTGACTGTTGCATAAGGATCACTTCAGCTCCCAAAAAAAAACATTTTGATAAACGTCCAAAATCTATTAACTTTATTACTCCCAAACAGACATGCAGAAACAGAGACGTGTTTCTTTCGGTGCTCAGGATGTATCATGGCTCTTTTTGTATTGTCTAAAAAATATATATATATATCACTATATTCCTCTGGAGGACAACAAAATAAAGCTCCTCCTCTGGTTAACCAGTGCACTGAGAGAGGTTTTAGTGGTGTTTGTGTGATTGGCAGGGAGACACCCCCTGCGAGGTCTGCTCTTCCCCTCAGCTGTACCTCGAAATGCGGGAGCGGAGCGTGGACCAGCAGGTGTCCGTCAGAAGACATCCCAATCGAGTCGCATGGTGGAGGGGTCACCTCAGTTCACCTGCTGCTGGAGAATTCTGGGAAAGCCTGGGATTTGACCTGTGGGAGGAATCTATACTTCTGTGCTTCTGGCTGTTCTGTACACGCTGTGTACCCCCACACTTTTGAAGTGTTTCTAATGCTTGTCTCGCACATGCGTTCACATCCTTGGTCTCACATTGTGCGACTCTGTTGGTAAACGTTGGGTCGAATTACAGAGGTATTGTATGACAGTGATGTCGCAGCTCTATGTCTTTGTTCAGAAGAGAAAAGCGGTCTTCTGTCTCTAAGGTGGAAATGCTTGACATCCAAGTCAAACTGACACATTATGGTTTTAACAGGCAATATTTTGTACATGCCCTATGAAAGGGTCACATTCTAACTTAAGTGAACTCTCCTTGCCCAGTATTTGTAATTGAAGTATTGACTGAAAATTCAGGTAGCAATCAAGAGAATATAGCTGTGGTAAAATAACCAGATTACAAATGACCCTGGGGTTCAAATCTATTACAGTGATTGTAGAAATGAGCAGGAAAAATGAGGGGCAGCAGTGTAGCATAGTGGTTAAGGAGCAGGACTCACGACCAAAAGGTTGCTGGTTTGATTCCCCACGGGGGCATTGCTGCTGTACCCTTGATTAAGGTACCTACCTCACAATTGCCTCAGTAAATATCCAGCTGTATAAATGGGTAACATTGCAAGTCGCTCTGGAGAAAAGCGTCTGCTAAATGCCAATAATGTAATGAGAACTCGACGGTAATTAACTGTGTAAAAGGGACATTCGAAATCACCACATGAGGGAGACAAAGTGACGAAGATGGTTTGATGGAAAAGCCGATGAAATAAATGGGCTGAAAGAACTAAATGGCCACACACAATGAAAATGCGCCGTAATTAGGTTAGATTCTGTTTAAACCGGAGATGATGGACGCAAAAGAAAATAAAAACACTTCAAGCCACATTTAAGACGAATTATTTTCCCTCGCAACATATTGGTAATGTCACACGAAATGTGACTAAAAGAGCATCGTAAAATAACATTTTACAAAACATAAACGGTAACCTGCACAAATATGCGAGATGTGGAATCAATTTTATAATTAGCCTGCCCAAGAATACGCCAGCAAAACAATTTATCAACTTATGCATGATCAGGAGTACTATGCAGCTGCGGAAATATATCCGTACTGTATTGAAAACAATACTGAAAACGAATCAAAGTACTGGCGTGTGAACTAATTGCCTCATGCAATGGAGTGCTCAGTTGAAGGACTGGGCCGCGATCGGATTCTAAGCATCGTAAATCCTAGTGTTAATTGTGCTGTATTATTCAAGAATTTGAGTTTTTAATTAATCATTGTTTACACATATAAAACAAATGCCAATAGATATTTGGTCAGATTACAGATGTATAGTAAATTACGAACGTATATGGTAGCCTACATCGAGGCTGAACACATCGCG